TTTAATGAACACAAACTCTGGTTTTATGGTGTTTAGTGCCGGGAGTCTACCTTCAACTGCAGATTCTCCACCTCTGCCTGCTTTTTTTCTCTTTCCAGCCTCTCCTGCTCTTCTCTTCCAGCCTGCAGCCGTTCTTCTGTTAAACAACAGGACTCACAGGGTTTAACATGAAGAGTTGAACTTTTTTAAATAATCAGAAACATCAGAATCACCTTCTTCTCGCAGCCTCCTCTCCTTCTTCTCAATTTGCTTCTTCCTCTGAGCTTTGGTCAACTTTTGCTCGTTCTTGAACAATATTAAAACATTACAAACTAACATTTAACAGAAAAAAATTAAATCAGCTAAGTTACTTAACTGTGAAAAAAAAGTCATACCTCATTTTTCTTTGGTGGCTGCTCCCAGGGGGGAAAAAAAAGAACTGTTAGAAAGTTAAAGACATGATTGAGAGTATTTTTTTATTTTACTTAGAATTTGTAACATTAAATTCTGACDTTTAAACCTGCTTAAATTTAGGATAATTTGTCGAAAGAGTAAACAAAACTCACCATTTTGGCGTTTTTAACCGTGTTCGGGTAACCATAGAAACCTGCGCGCATGCGTGTTGATTTTGTTCATTTGCGACATGAAGACGGAACGGAATACGGCAGTGTGTACAAGTGAGCCGAGGACAAATGTAAAGGAGAAATATTCACACGGGTGAGTTGTTGAAGTATTTTCACGAGTAAATACGACTGTTGTTCAGAATGATTGAGTATTTCTTTAATATTTTTATTTTCTAAGTGAACTTTATTTCCACTTGTGGAGTTTGTAAATTCGGCGCTTGGAATGCTAACTTAGCTAACTGCTAGCTAAGTTTGTTTTTAAGCCTTACTTGTCTTCTTTCAGGGGAACTTTTGTTTCTGACATGGCTAACCCATTAAAGGGTGAGGTCATCAGGTTGTACAAAAATGTAAGTAAATTAATTAATTGCATCTGTTAAAACAAAAAGTGCTCGGTTTGCTCCGAATCTTCAACCCTTTGCTCGTCTCCTTGCAGCTGCTGTATCTCGGCCGYGAGTACCCAAAGGGAGCAGCTTATTTCAGAGAACGACTAAAGTCAGCTTTCATGAAGAACAAGGATGTGAGCGACCCTGAGAAAATCAGGCAGCTGGTGGCCAAAGGAGATCATGTCATCAAGGAACTGGAGGCTCTTTATTTCCTGAGGAAATACCGAGCCATGAAGAAGCGCTACTATGAACCCGAACAACAACAACAACAACAACCCGCTAAAAACATTTATTCTGAAAGGACACAGGCAAGGGAAAGTGCAGTATATAACTGTTAATTTATCTCATCAGCTGGTTCGATTTAAAACTTCAACACTGCCTAAAACCTAATATTGAATGTGCCACAGATATAATATAATGTGTTGTATATTGTTGTACAGAAATTTTGTTAATATCAATGTTGAACTCAAATTCTGTTTTTTCAGGCTTTTTTCATTGGGCCTGGTTTGACTCGTATCTACGACAGAGTAATAGAGCCACATGACAAGATTTTTTTTTAAATTATATTTACGACAATAAAGTCAATATGGTAAAGTCATAATATTATGAGTTTAAAGCCCGTAATATTAGGAGAAAAAAATTTTTAATCTTACATGACGTACATTTTCCATTCATGTCCTTATTTCCTCACACCTGCTGTGTACAGCCAAGTGTGTTTATAAAGTAATGATGACTTGGGTCACTGTTAGATTAATATGATTTCATCCAAACGAGCTACGTGACGACTAACTCTGTCAATAAATCCAATAATTATAATACGGCTTCAGTTTATGGTCATTTGCACAATATCCAAGTCCTGCTACTGATAATTTGATGCTGATGAGCTAAAAGATTAACGATTTATTTTAAGCAACAAAGAACAACTTGAGAAGATGTTCAACATAACTCATTTTAATGCAGTGATAACTGCATGCTTGTCCATGTAAAGGGTACAGTATTACAACTT